GTGCGATGTGCCAAATTTTTTTGCGAATGCCGCTATATTCTAGCTTGAGTGAACGGGTAGGTCGATGCATGCATCATGAAAGGAGAATCTTGCTTAAACTTCCCCCTACACGTATAATTTGGATTAGTGAATTGATAGGATAACCTAAAAGAATGCTTTAATAAGCGTCTTATCATTTCTCTAATCTGTTGCTTCTACTCTGGAGGGTTGTCCCTAGTGGTAGGTTCCTATCTGTTTACAGAACAACTTGAGGTCTGGTTGTGGGAGTACCAGCGTTGGGGCGGACCTGGGTGATAACGGTTGCGGTGAGGGCATTGGCAACAACAATGGGGAGAGCCACTAGGCCCCGCTTCTGGCTCCTCCTCCTCCTTGACCACCACCTCCGATGACTCATGCGGAGATGATGGCGGAGATGTTGTCTGCTCGTCGTAAGTCAGCCTGTGCCATGGAGCTGTTAGCACCGGCTATCGGTGACTTCGCTCGTGGAGGCCACGAAGGTAATGGCGGGAATGGGGGTGGTGCCCATGGTCCCGATGGACCCTGTTCTTACCAGGATTTCTTAAAGACACACCCACCCACGTTCACGCCGACTGCTGAGCCTCTGAATGTGGAGCAATGGCTTCGTATTCTATAGCAGAAGTTTCTGCTACTCACTGTAACTGAGGAGCAGAAGGTGCGCTTTGCAGCACAATAACTGTTGGGTTCTGCTAGTGCATGGTGAGACATATTCAATGCCATGCAGCAGGTGGATCACCGTGGAACTTGGTAGGAGTTTACTGTTGCTTTCAGAGAGTATTACATTCCTGCTGGTGTTCTGAACAGGAAGTTGACGGAGTTTTTGGACCTGAGGCAAGGGAGCATGTCTGTGATGGACTATGTAAACAAGTTCAACCATCTGTCACAATATGCTGGGACTCACGTTGATACTGAGGAGAAGAAGAGGGACCGTTTCTATCGTGGCCTCTCGCAGTCTGCAGAAGGAGCTGTACACAGGGAACTACCAAACTTTCGGTGCTATGAAGAATGCTGCTATTGCCATGGAGGGACTTTAGCGTGACTCATAGGCTGAGTGGAAGCGCAAGCAAGTGATTACTGGGTCTTCCAGTCACCCCCAGGCTTAGAAGGTACAGGTGATCAAGCGGGTGCCTTATCAGTCTTCAAGTGGACAGTCGTTCCGCCAGCCTCAGTAGACCTACCAGGCACCTCCCATTTAGTACCGTACACCTACTCAGCAGGTGCAACAACAGCAGCCCCAGGGACAGCGGTTCCGCCTCGTCAGGGGCAAGGGAACAAGCCTGGTGCTTGTTTCAAGTGTGGCAAGGAAGGCCACTATGCTCGAGAGTGTCCACAGAACCAGCCTGCACAGTCTGCTCAGCCCTCAGCTAACTCCCGTCTGATCAAGCAGACGATCATCAAGAAAAGGGTGTCCGTAAGCCGCTCTGGGCAAGTCAACTTCACTGAGGCTGAGGAAATCTTGCATAATGAACCGGTGATGGCTGGTATGTTTACCATTGATTCCCACCTAGCTATGTGTTGTTTGATTCTAGTGCATCACATTCATTCATGAGCATAGGGTTTGCATAAAGGCACAATATATCTCTTATGGCTATACCTATTGCCTGTAGAATCGGTACTCTGGGTGCGCAGTCGTGCGTTAATACTCGGACAGACACAGTTGAATTAGTGCTAGCCACTCACACTTACCGCCTCCAGTTCATGGTGCTGCCCGAGCAAGGCATAGATGTAATTCTGGGCATTAACTGGTTGCGAGTATATAGGGTAGTCTTGGATCTCAAGCAGAGAGTGGTTGAGTTATGGCTTCCTTCTTTTGAGGATAGGATATCTCTTCTTATGCCCTCTCAATGCGGTAACCATTAAGAACAAGTATCATTTACCTCGTATTGATACTTTGTTCGATCAGTTGGCTGGTGCCAAAGTATTTTCAAAGATTGATCTTTGTTCTGGGTATCATCAAATTAAGATCCAGCCACAAGATATACCAAAGACATCTTTCTCTACTAAGTATGGGCTGTATGAATACCTAGTTATGTCTTTTGGTCTCACCAATGCTCCTGTATTCTTCATGTATCTCATGAATTCAGTCTTTATGTTGGAGTTGGATAAGTTTGTAGTGGTGTTCATTGATGATATTTTGATATACTCCAAGAACAAAGAAGAGCATGCACAACATCTTCGGATAGTACTGACTCGATTAAGGGAACACAAGCTGTATACCAAATTCAGCAAGTGTGAGTTTTATTTAGATCGAGTGCAGTTTTTGGAACATGTTCTGACACCTGAAGGTATCTCTGTAGACCCAAACAAGGTGCAGGATGTGTTAAATTGGAAGTCTCCAAAGTCAATGCATCAGATCCGTCAGTTCCTGGGTCTTACTGGTTATTATCGGCGTTTCATTCCTGACTTCTCCAAAATAGCTCAGCCGATGACCAAGTTGCTCCAGAAAGATGTCAAGTTTGTATGGAGTCCGACTTGTGAAGAAGCTTTCCAAGCTCTGAAGAAATTTCTTACCACTGTTCCTGTTCTTGCCCAACCAGATATTGATAGACCATTTGATGTGTATTGTGATGCCTCAAGGATTGGACTGGGATGCGTGCTTATGCAGGATGGGTGGGTGATAGCTTATGCTTCACATCAACTGAAAAAGCTTGAGATGAATTATCCCACCCATGATTTAGAAAAGGTTGTTGTGGTGCACGCTCTAAAAATTTGGAGGCATTATTTGTTGGAAAATAAAGTACATATTTTTACAGAGCACAAGAGCCTCAAATATATTTTCACTCAGTCCGAGCTGAATATGAAGCAACGGAGATGGTTGGAGCTAATCAAGGATTATAATTTGGAGGTTCATTACCATCCTGGAAAGGCTAACGTGGTAGCCGATGCTCTGAGCCGGAAGTCGTATCAAGTTGAAGAAGCATCCTTGTCTCTCAACCATGCTGAGGTGCTAGCCCAAGTCTTGGATTTACTTGAGCAAATTATTATAGAGCAAAGGCATGATGTTTCGGAAATCCTGCATATCAAGAAGTTAATTGTTGAAGGACATGGTCCTCATTTTAGTATTGATGATCAAGGTGTAGTGAGGTTCAAGAATAGATTGGTTGTTCCGTCAAGTGAGGAGCTTAGAAGAAAGATTTTGTACGAAGCTCATCATTTCAAGTTGTCCATCCATCCAGGAAGTAACAAGATGTACCATGATTTACGCCACTTGTATTGGTGGTCCAATATGAAGCAATATATCACCAAGTATGTTGCGGAGTGTGATACTTGTGGTAGAGTTAAAGTAGACCATATGCGTACACTGGGATTTTTGTAGCCCTTGCCTATCCCTGTTTAGAAATGGGAAGATATTTCCATGGATTTCATTGTGGGTTTACCCCGCACGTCCAAGGGCTATAACTCTATTTGGGTTATTGTGGATCGCCTTACCAAATCCGCTCATTTTCTCCCGGTGGATACCAGATATTCAGTCAAGAAGTATGCCAAGTTGAATTTTGACCGGATTGTGACCCTGCATGGAGTTCTTCTTATCATCGTCTCTAATAGAGGGTTAGTCTTTGTCTCTCGTTTTTTGGAGCAACTTAAGGAATGTATTGGTACTAGTCTCCTCAGAAGCTCAGCTTATCATCCACAAACTGACTGTCAGACAGAAAGGGTAAATAAGGTACTTGAGGATATGTTGAGAGCTTGTGCCATTTCTTTTCTTGAAAAGTGAGATGAATGCTTGAACTTAGCCGAGTTTTCTTACAACAATAGCTATCAGGAAAGCATTCGTATGGCACCCTTTGAAGCTCTGTGTGGAATGAAATGTAGAACACCACTTAACTGGGTTGAAGTAGGTGACCGTAGATATTATTTAGAGCCATTTGAAGGCAGCTCAAAGTCGTCAGAAAACTTATGCGGACAAGCGAAGAAGGCCCTTACAATTTGAAGTTGGTGATCATGTGTATCTTAAGGTATCTCCCATGAGAGGTGTATATCGATTTGATGTCCGTGGGAAGCTAGCCCCTCACTATGTTGGACCTTACAAGGTTTTGGCCCAGTGTGGTTCTACTGCCTACCGTCTCCAACTTCTAGATATTTTGTCAGCAATACACAATGTCTTCCATGTTTACCAGTTAAAGAAATGCTTGCGGGTCCCCGATGAATCGGTGGAAGTTGAAGGACTTCTCCTCTAGCCCGACTTGTCTTATATTGAGCATCCTGTCAAGATCTTAGACAAAAAAGAAAGAGTGACTAGAAATAGTGTGGTGAAGTTCTATAAAGTTCAGTGACAAAATCACTCGGAGGACGAAGCAACGTGGGAGCAAGAAAGCTATATCTTGAAGCATTATCCCCACCTTCTTTTTAGTTAACCGAGGTAATTATTTAAATCGAAATGTATTTCTTATCTCTTTTCCCACACCAGGCACGTGAAATCTCGGGACGAGATTTTGTTTATGGGGATAGATTTGTAACACCCTCGGTGTTACACTGTAAATCATTTGCTAAAACACGTCATGAGCAACATGTTTATGTGTTAATGCATGCAATAAAGAGTGTAGATCAATTTTCCGTAACTCTGACGGACGGGTGTCCCATCCCGCTGTCGCGCTGCTGCTCTGCTGCTGTGCTGCCGTCACGTCCGCCTCTGTCGCGTCGCGACGCTGCCGCTGCCGTCGTGTCGCTCCTGTACGCGTGCTGCATCACGTTGCCTCTCCCTGGCCCGGTTGGGTGCCGTCCGCACGTGGCCGTGCGCGCCGCCGTCGCTTTGCCATTTATGGCACTGCGGCCGAGCGGGCCACGCCGGTCGAGCGCACACGCCCGTCGTCTTGCGCCGGCGCATGGGACTCCCGGTCCCGCCGCTCGCATCCCGCCTGGGCTTACAGCCGTGCCACTGCCGCCGCCCGCGTTCCCCTGTTTTCCCCCTGCCGCCGCCGCCGCTGCACCGCGACAATAGCATCGCCGTGACGTCGGACCTCGCGGCGGTCTCCGCCGACCCGATGTCTCTGCCGACCTTCCTCCACTCCGTCAGGCCCTACGGCGGCATCTTCTCCGTCCACATCGACCCGGACGACATGGAGAACAAGGTCCTGGACAGGTTCGTGCGCGTCACGCACAGCAGATACGAGAATTCCACTCCTGCCTGGACCGTGTTCTCGGCGCATGACCCGCATGCCCAGTGGAAGTGGAACCTCCTGGTCATGGAGGACGAGTACACACCGGCATGCCCTTATGCTCATCCTGATGGAGGTGAAAGTTGGCACATGACTAGCCAGATCTGCATTCCGAAACGGCACTGCTGATCCTTGCTCTCGTGCTTCCCTCGTCATCTACAAACTGTGTGCTTCTTGTTTTGAAGGATTTCTGTTTATATGTTCACTCAAAATTTCTTTGAAACCATGTCCTGTTTTTGTTTCTGTCTGTCTGTTGGTTTAAACAACTTGTAAAAGTATCTGTTCTGTACATGCATCTTTGATCTTTGGATGTACAGGAATGGACCGTTTATATTCTTCGTCAAATAAATTTCCATTATCTAAAGAAGATGTACTGTTCCTTAATGAATGGCTTACATCTTTCTTGATAAATTGAGTAAAGTGGTGTTTAAATCCAGGAAGTAAAGTTTAGAGATGTCGTATCGGGTATCACATGAAAGTGTTTGAATAGTAATTATAAAACAAATTACAGAGGTCCTCAGTAATCCACGAGACTAATTTATTAAGCCTAATTAATCTGGCATTAGCACATGTTTACTGTAGTACAACATTATCAAATCATGAACTAATTAGGCTTAAAAAATTCGTCTCGCAAATTAGTCACAATCTGTGTAATTAGTTATTTTTTAGTCTATATTTAATACTCCATACATGTGTCTAAATATCCGATGTGATAGAGAGTAAACTTTAGGATGAGAAACTAAACAAGGCCTGAGCTGAATAGAAATAATCGGATAGTTATAGTAATCCTAATTGAAATAGCTCTATTCGATTCCGAGTAAGCTGAATAGAAATACTAACTCAATTAGAAAAAAAATACAAGTATAAATTAGGCATAAGTCCATGACAATAAATTTATCATCAATAAAACTAAAGGAAATCTTATCATAATCGCAAACGTGCAGGCACACGAGCAAAGCAATAATGCTTCGTCAGGAAGGTGTGCATCATCACTGGGAGAACTCGATTCCGACAGGAAAATTTGACGACAGCCAAAACCAATGAACAGCCCTTTTGAGGATTCATCGACTAGAGGCCAAGATGTTTACAGGTGGAAACTAGCGGCGGCAAAACTGCCATGACTCATGAGGATTCCATATAAATCATACAACTAATAAAGAGAGAGATGTACGTACATTCTAGATTTTTGTGATCACACTGATAATCTAGATTAATCCCAAATCTATATCTAATTATTAAATATTAAAGAACAAAAATTCTTGTCATAAAGTTATATTTGATTTTTTTCTTCCGTTACAACGCACGAGCATACTTGCTAGTAGATTATAATTATTAGTAAATACTTCATCATTTTTAAATTATGAAACGTTTTGGGTTTTCTTAGCTTTTGCTATTTACTTAGACGGGTTGCTACTTGTTCCATCAACGCTCACATATGTTGTTGTAACACTCCTTTTTTTCTTAACACATGCTCTCGAAAAAAAAATATCGAAGAAAGAAGTAAATTCTGTTGTAATTTCCGCTACATTTTGTAATTTTCTTTGCCCCAACTTCTTGGACGGCAGCAAAAGAGCAAACGCGCACGGTCACACGCAACCACACAATCCCATGGAAGCGTCACTTGCCGCCGCCGGCGCCGCCGTCTTGTTTCCTCCGCCGCGAATCCGCATCCGAATCACCAAACCGAGCCCACTCCCACCCCCTCGTCGCCTCCAATTCGGAACCTCCAAGATCTGGACCTCCGGCTCGCGGGCATGCGTGGCCGCGGCCTCCGCATCCACACCGCCGGCGCCGGGAGGCGGGCTTTACTCGGCGGCGACTTACGAGCTGACCCCAGAAAACGTCGACCGCGTCCTGGACGATGTCCGGCCATACCTTATCTCTGACGGCGGCAACGTCACCGTCGTTGCTGTCGAGGACGGTGTCATCTCCCTCAAGCTTGAAGGTAAATAAATCTTTTGGAATTCGATTGGTAGGGTAGGATCGAAATCTTACTAGTCGATTTCCCTGGTTGCAACATGTAGGAGCATGCGGCAGCTGCCCCAGCTCGACGACGACGATGAATATGGGCATCGAGCGTGTGCTCAAGGAGAAGTTCGGCGACGCTTTCAAGGAAATCCGTCAGGTGTCCGACGGGGATCAGCCGCCGGCGGAGACGACGCCCGAGGTCAGTGAGCGAACTCCACCACCGTAGCATAGCACCGTTGCAGTACACTGGTACTATAACCAATATCACTCATTGGCAAGCGGATCCTTTGGTGCTGCTGCTGCAGGCAGTGAACCGGCACCTGGACATACTGCGGCCAGCGATCGCGAACTACGGCGGGAGCGTGGATGTGCTGGCCGTCGATGGCGAGGACTGCCTGGTGAGGTACGACGGGCCGGAATCCATCGGCAGCGGTATCAAGGCGGCCATCAAGGAGAAATTCCCGGATATCACCAATGTGGTGTTTACCCTGTAAAACACTGTCTAGCTATGCATATTACGCAGTCGACAGTAAATGAGAAGATGAAATGACCAGACATATTGATAGAACTTCGTACGTGTAATTTGCAAAGATTTTCTGTTGTGGATGAACGGTTTTGCGTCTCATCCTTGCATTTGCTCTGGCGCGGTCATTGCAGCTTTCACGAGCACAACTCCTACTGCGAGTGCCGATGTTTCCCTTTCATCACCTGAAATTCAGATGATTCGGAATTTCATTTCATCTGGATCTGACCATGATATTGTGCGGTTGAGGCAGTGATGATATGGAATTTGACTTCAAAATGTATTGGGTCCCATTGCAGCGCATAGACTAATGTATTTTACACAAAGGGGTTAACTCTAGGGCTGAAAACTGTCGGAAATGATACCTATGGTTTACATTTTGTATGAAGTATTGAAGCTGAATTGTTCTGAAAATTTAGAGTAATTCCATATACCAAACATATACTAGTACTAACAAGGAAGAAACTTTCCCCCACCCCACCCACAAAGTATCAGTCGGAGTCTATGTTTTCTCCTAATCAAGATGCAGGTTGAAACGGAGAAGAAACAACAAATATTCAGCTTGTTCGCTGGTTGGTTTCTGGGCTGATAAGTCTGGCTGATGCTGGTTTGTTGTGAGAGAAAAATACTGTACCATGGCTGATAAGCCCTGGCTGAAACCAAGGTGCGATCATGCTGATTACCTGAAGATTCTCACCGGATCACCGATCAGATCAGTTGATCAGGCTCGGCAGGTCATACGATGATCGTCGGTAAGGATTGCCAAGTTGAACAGGATGTGCATAGGATCATCCAATGTGGTAGTTCGTAAACGAAAACAAGGATAAAGAGATAGATTAAATGGTTTTGAGAGTCGAAGGAGGCAATTTATTCATGTTCGAGGAGAATACCTGTACTCCTTCGTATGCAGACAAAAAATGATTTTTGAGGCGCAGGGTACAGGCATTTTGTATTGAACGCTGGTTTGAGCCGTTCGTAGGGAATATCCAGTCCAGAGAGTCTACGCAGCAGGCAGAAAGCCCAATTAATTTGTGCTACGTCTGACCGACGACCCATTTCCTCCGGGCCATTCCTCACACTGACCTAACAGCCCGAATGACCGACACTGACACACTAGGGTTTTTGGAGGCCGTGCAGTCGTGCGTACAGACACAGTGCGGCTAGTGTGAAGAGCAATTCCCAGGCATATACCCCCCTCCTACGGAATAGTAGTGGCACTGTTGTACGTGCCGTCCTAAAGTAATCAGTGATGGGGTCGTCGCGTCCATCGCTGGATCACAGGATCAGCAAGCAGTGAGCACCATCCCAGGACGTCGACACACGTCCGCTCCTCCTCCATTTCTTAATCCGTCCATAGACGGTGAAGCACGGGCAGCAGCGAACCCATCGATGGTCGTGGAAATTCTCGTGCTCCGGTCAGTTCCGGCTTTGGACTTCGGCCGCCGCTGCGCCGACGCCGAGCCGGCAGCGGCAGGTCATCAGGTCAACCAGGGTTCCCCAGGCCCCAGCTCGTTCTGAGTTCTGACCGACCGACGTTCGCCCGCTCCTCGAAGGCCGAGACGAGACGAGGCGACGAGGTGGTCGAGCCGTGGCCAGTGGAGTGGTCGCCCGCTTCCAGGGTCCAAGGTCCAGGCCTCCACTCTCCAGCCCTCCACAGTTGACGCCCCCGTGCGTGCGCGTCCCGACTCCCGGCGTGCTCCGCAGTTCCGCACTCGGCACTGCTGCTCGCCTCGCCTGCTTGTGCAGTTTGTGGGCGGGCGGGCGGGCCGAGCAAGCGGCAGGCAGCGCACGTGAAGTTCCATGCGCCCGCGCCTGGGGATTCCAGCAAAATATTTCGTGGGAACGGCGCTCGGATCCGCTCGTCTACGGGCTACGGCGCGCGAGGGCGCTTTTATTACTGTCTCCATTTTCGTTTACTTGTCACTGAATTTTTACTGTAGTAATTTTGACAGTACATTTTTTTTCTGTAAAAATTTTTAGATACATCAAGTTTTCATATATATAATTTTTTATTGAACATACTTTATTAGTGTTATATATATTGAAGTATCTAAGATTTTTTTAAAAGAAAAAACAGATAATCAAATTTACTACGGTAAAAAGTTGTTGAGAAGTAAACAGACGGAGGGAAGTATTTCCGTCGTGGAATGGAATGGGAGGACGCCACGGCATGTGCGGTCGTACGTGTAACGTGTTGGGGTTTTTACGGCGGTAACAACAGCTTGGACTCCTCCCATCAAATCGATCAGACAGAATATTTCGATCGCGTGAAGCGCATGAGCGCCAGCGGAAGTGACGCCGTGAGTTTTTAGCTCTTCGTTCCTTCAGCCGAGCAGGACAGCAGGAAAGGGCCAAGGGAGGCTAGGGAGCGGCCGGCCGCCGGCGGGAGCCTCGTTGTTAAGTGGATGTGACCGGGTGGCTCTAATTGCCCTGCCTTTTAAAGAAAAATGAGCTGAGTGGACGCGACCGATCGCCGCCGACGGAAGGACATGTTGCAATGCAACGGAACATCTATAACACTAGATTAATGTTGTTAAATCCACCATGGAATCATGACAGTGCATTTATTTGTTATTGTGGATGCTAATACACTTTTTTTATAAGTTTGATTAAAATTAGAAAAGTTTAACCCAAAACAAAAGTTAAACAATATTCATTTTAGAATGGAGAGGTAATGCTTAGGTAGGCTTTAACTATATCTTGTTGGCAAAACTTAAACACATGCTTGAAAACAAACTTAGCATTCTCTCCTTCGAAGCACCAATTTGCTTTTCCGTGTAGCGGTGGAGAGTGGAGACACAAGGATGTGACTCCAGTATTTCCACCATCATGAGATCAAATTCTTCTGGCCATGATTTACACACACTCGAGTACTTTCACCGTGATTATTATCTGTCACTGGTAAGTTAGTGTGGTGTACATGCACAATAGTGTTTATGTGACCACGTGTACGACATCTTGTATAATTGAAAGAAAATGAAAACTATTTTCTTATATTAGCACCATAACTAAGAGCAAGTTTGGCAGACTCTAGAAGAAGGTTTGTGAAAGGGTTTTTTTTTACTAAGAAGTAATTCTTTGTTGATTCTATGAAATGATTCTCTGAAACGAACTAGGACTGGAAGCTGAAAAAAATAGCTTCTCCTGATTCACTCCACGCACAGAATCACTCTATAAGTTTATCCTAGAGAATCAATTTCAGTCAAAAAATCACTTCTAAAATTATATGCGTGGAGTTTATCATAGAGAATCAATCTCAGTCAAAGAGTCACTCCTCACAGAGAATCAACTTCCATAGATAATCTAGACTAGGAGGAGCTCTAGCAAACTGGCCTAAACAACTTTACGACACTACTATATAATAGGCTACCTGTGGTTTGAGATATCATCTTGTCTTAGGCCTTCTTTGGCAAGGCTTCTGTGAGAACTTCATCGGCTTAACTAAAAGGACTACCAAATGAGCACACACAAAAACAATTTCTAAAGCCAAAAAACAATAAAGTCGAAGCCGTTTAGGAGAGGTTACCAAACATGGCTTTTGTGATTTTCTCAGTTTTCGGAGAAGCCCAAGCTCTGCCAAAGAAGGCCTTAGCTAAGTATGCCTTTGTGATTCATGAGTTCATAACATAAATTGGGATCGAAGCTATACATTTCTCATGTTTATATAGTTAATAATGTTTTGATAAAAAAACTTTTATTAAATTCTCAAGAGCATTACATCGGTTTGATACTTCATTTATCGTATGAACATCTATAATTATGAAGTAGTGATATGAATCAATGCATACTGTTTCTTAAACCAAACAAAGATGTAAGGGTGAGAAGAGGATGGATATATCATTTATAGTCTCGTTTCTTAAATTAAACACCATACGAGTCAATACATGGGTTTAATTTGTTTTAAAGGAAATAAGACTAGAGCACTAAACTGCATTGCTGGAGTACCGAGTATGGCGCCCAAAGCTAACACCCTTCTCTAGATCTCAGAGCTGACAAACTGCATTGATTCTCTCCCAATCTCCCACGCCCCTCCCTGGACCGCTTGGCGCAAGCTCACACTCTATAGACTACAGCACTAGACCAAGGCCAGCTATAGCACATCGATCTCTTGAAAAGCCTGAAGAGATCAAATGCACTAGACCTTAACTCCCCAAAAGATTTCCTGACCCCAAATCTCCTTCTGCTGCAGCTTCTGCACACACACACACGCTGCCAAGTCTCCATGTCCGGCGCCCCCTGAGCCTGAGCCTGCTCTCTCCCTTTCTCTCTCTCCCCCCTCCTCCGTGGCCTTTTTATTCACTGCAGCACCCGTGCACAACCACACAGACACACACAAAGGTGACCAACACTTGGGCTTGGAGAAGCTGAGGCGTTTTCGTTCTCCTTCGTGCCGCTCTGGCCGGCCGGCTGGTGGCTACCTAGCAAGCTCGATCGGTGTGTGCATTCTGGCAGTCTCTCTTCCTCGTCCTGAGCTTCATCACAGGCTACTTTCTTGCAGTTTGTGTGTGCACTGCTAATATTTGATGCCTCTTTCTCGCAGTGTTATCTCCACGAAGCTTGGAGTCGAATGGAAGCCACGATGAAGCTCTGCAACTTTGCGGTAAGCTTATCAAAACTTCAAGAGGTTCTCTCTTCATATATGTTAGCCTTATTCTCCGTGTCTGTTTGATCTTGCACTTATGATACTCTTCCTGTTCTCTCATCAGACGGAGAGGAGCTCTGTGACCGGCAAGCCCCGTGAGCAGGAAGTGTCCGCTTGGCATGAAGAGCCGAAAGCGCGTACAGTTTGGCCACCGGGAGCAGCAGTTCAGATGGTCCATGCCTAATTTTACTAGGGCGTTATTCTGATTGAGCTTTTCATAGCCACCATCCTCATCCTTCTTCATATTCTTCGCATGGCAATGTGTGTGGTTCCGCAAGGTGAGGTCTTCTTGACCTTGCAAGACCTTTTCTTGACCTTGTAAGACCCAACTTTGTGATGCTTCTTTCCTTCGTCTCGACCTTCTCTGTCCCACACCTTCCACTTCGTTCTTACTTCTTTTCTATGTCTATCCCTTCTGAGCTGCGTGTTGAGCTATATGCTCACAAGTTTAGGTATTAGATTATAAGTATTTTACGGTATAGTTTTGTTCCGTGTGAGTGAATAGCTACTGTGCTGCTTTCATGTGTAATGCTCTGAACTCATGAAAACCCATATTTTGTTTTGATGGTGGAGTTCTGTAGATGAGAGACACAAATATGTACCTGTTGCGCCATGAGCCCATGATGCTCAGGCATGTGAAGTAGGCGCCTACTTGTAAGCTAGCTTCGTATGTATCCCATCAATCAATGGAATTAAGTTGGCAATGTACTGCTTGAAACATTTTGGATCCATGTCATTTTTCAACTGTTGAGAACTGATCATTTGACACTGCAGACGCAATGCAAGACTACTGAGTTGTCATTTCGTTTTGTTATGCTTCTTGCCTTGATTAGATTCCAAGTTTTTTCACTCTCTCTATTACATCAAATCTTTGGACACATGCATGGAGTATTAAATGTAGATAAAAAAATAACTAATTACACAGTTTGATTGTAAATTACGAGACGGATCTTTTGAGCCTAGTTAGACCATAATTGAACAATAATTGTCAAATACAAACGAAAGTGCTATAGTATCAAATACTGATTCTCAACCATCATCTAAACAAGGCCCTACAGAACGACACAGCCCAATCCGAACGACACAGCCCAATCCGAGGTTTCCTCCCTTCTCAAGTAATTCAAATTAAGCCGACAAGCACGGGTCGGTGAGGCCAATTAGGTTTGGCATTTCTTGTTCAACTAGGCCTATTGGGACAGTTAAATTTTGAAATAGGTCGAGCTCGTGACGAGTGTAATATCCATGACAGGAAAGAACTGAATAGATAGCTCCAAGAAAGTAGTACAATCCTGACCTAGCAGAACAGTTCCAGTTAAGAGTCTGAGAGATAAAAAGCTAAACATTATCAGTTAGAGTCCAGGATAGAGATCATTACAAGTGTCAATCGTAGCTCCGGTCGAACTGACAGAATGAGTAAATAGAGTATCAATCACACTCAGTCCATCTTAATAAAGAAGGTTAAAGCATGACCATCCTTGCCCACTCAACTTGAGGTGGTTTGGTCAACTGTAATGAACTTATGTCACACATATAGTAATAATATAGTCATACGGCCATATGGGGCATATTGGGGGGCATATTGGGGCACTATTCGGCTGGAACAGAGCTATTTTCAGTCTGATTAATTGGTCGGAATTCATGAGCTAAGCTGGGAGGTTGAGAAAAACAAAATCTTGTTCTGAAACTAATTAAGAGAATGGTAATAGCTGAAATGTGTATAGCTTAATTAAGCAAGAACAAATGACTCGAGAAACATTACTGGCCAGCAATTAAGGAGGACAAACACCAGACACTAACTAGACAGGTCTTTAGGTAAAGAGGGGCAAAAGGTTGTGACTAGGTTGCTCCACAAGGCATAGAGAGTCAACTCATAAATCATTGACACCACTGACCTTTATAGGGAATGGGAACGTATAGAGCAAAATGCCAAAAAAACAAACATCCCTTTTACGTGAAAATATTCTTGTCGGTGCGAAAAATGACCAACAAGTAAATATTTATAGTTTTGACGTACGTTGTGATCGGATGTGGCATAGCACTTAATGACATAGAATTTATATTGGTTTAGGCAATGTGCCCTACGTCCAGTTTCGATTGGTCGGAGACTTTATTCCTGAGCATAGGTGATCGAAGTTTGCTATGTGGTTACAAACGAGTAGGAATAAAAAGAGGATGTTAAAGGCCCGGTCGGACTCTGAATCGAAGGGCCGAGATACGCTAAGTATTGGAGCGTATGCTCTGTAGAGCTTTAGAGTTCTGGAGCTATTGAGCTATTCGAGTTCTTAGGTCCTCAAGTGCTCAAATCGTCTAGCTTCTCTTTTTTTAAGAGAGCCAGAGGGCCAGAGTTAGAATAGCTAGATAGTTTTTTAGGAGAGAGCTCATCCCCTTTTATAGTCGAAGGGGATGGCCTCTTATAAGTCAAAGAAAGAGAGAGAATATATACGTGTGCTACCTAGTCTTGTTGCCCACGCTGTCGGGTACGAGACGGTCGTTGGCGCCCACAATACTGTTCAAGTCCAGATGCATGTGGCAGGCTCTACCGTGTTCTCCTGGTATGGCATATGTCGGCGCCTACAATACTATTTGGGTTCTGACACGCCTAGAAGGTTGCATAGTACCTTTCTAGTATGGCCTGGTGGCACCGTCCTGTAGGTGTGCAGGGTATGGTAGGGTACGGTCCTCGGTATTGTGGTTTGACTTGAGCGTCTTACCTTATCTGCTCCGCCTGATCCCCGAGCCCTCACTGAGCGGGCGTCCCCGGTCGGTCATTCAGAGTTGGCCCCGACCGTGTCGGTCGAGGAAGAGCTGCAAGCATAGGTCCGGTGTATCCCGGTTGGAAAAGGAGGTCGGAGTCGGACTATGTCCCCACCTTGGCTAGGCCTTCCGGTCAGGAACCGGATCGTTCTCCCAGCCTGTCATTAGATATCTGGGCCGGCCCAGGAGGCGCGCGTTGTTGCTACGCCGTCTGCTGGGCTGAGTTTTTTCTGAGAAGCGGGCCCATTGGGGACTTCGGGTTTATGAACCCGACAGGAGCCCCCGAGCCCTTTTAGGACTTTTGTAAAGTCGTGAAGGGGTTGTTTACACTCGTTTCACGAGCGCACCCGGTGGGCGTAAGGTCGCGGGTCATCGTCGGATGAGATGGAGCGCCAACCCAAGTTCTGGGCGCGGCCGAGGGGTCGGGCGAGATGGAGCGCCAACCCAAATGTTGTGCGCCAACCCAAGTGTCAGGCGTGGCCGAGGGGTCGGGCGAGATGGAGCACCAACCCAAGTGTCGGGTGCGGCCGAGGGGTCGAGCGAGACAAAGCGCCAACCCAAGTGTCGGGCGCCAACCCAAGTGTCGGGCGAGACGGAGCGCCAACCCAAATGTCGGGTGCCAACCCAAGTGTCTGGCGCGGCCGAGGGGTCGGGCGAGATGGAGTGCCAACCCAAGTGTCGGGCGCGGCCGAGGGGTCGGGCGAGATAGAGCGCCAACCCAAGTGTCGGGCGCCAACCCAAGTATCGGGCGTAGCCGAGGGGTCGGGCGAGATGGAGGGCCAACCCAAGTGTCGGGCGCGGTCGAGCAGTCGGGCGAGACGGAGCGTCAACCCAAGTGTCGGGAGTAGCCGAGGGGTCGGGCGAGATGGGGCGCCAACCCAAGTGTCGAGGCGTGGCCGAGGGGTCGGACGAGACGGGGCGCCAACCCAAGTGTCGGGCGCGGCCGAGGGGTTAGGCGAGACGGAGCGCCAACCCAAGTGTCGGCGCGGCGAGGGGTCGGTCAAGACGGACCGCCAACCCAAGTGTCGAGCGTGGCCAAGGGGGCGGTCTAGTTTTGTGCGTTACCTCATCCGCGATTTCCGCAACCGGAGGGGTTGAGCTAACGTCGCTTGCCTCGATGGCTCGAGTGACGCACTCAGTGAGCTTAATAATGGGTACATCCGTCGTTCGTAATAGGGTCAACATAGCTCTCATGTGGTATTCCACTGCTCCTTAACCCGCCCCCGACAAATGCTTGAGCCATTCCAGGAGACCGACTCAAGTGGCCCGCTGGCCTCCCCTCGATGGAGATTTTGTGGGCATGGCTCGAGGTCAGGATCGAACGAGAAGGTCGAGATGACCCTGTTCGCTTCTAAGTGGATCGGGCGAGGGCCACTGGGGCTCATCTGTGTTTTCTCCCCTGGCTCTACCCCTTTGCGACTACCACTTCGCGTGACAACACGAAGCATTGTGATGCAATAATTGCATATGCAATGCTTGGATGTATGGGATGAATGTATGGATGAATGTATGAATGCATGCATGAGAATGGATGAATGAATAATTATGCATTAGAAAAGAAAAAGGGGGTTTGGCAAGGTTACCTCGATGGCTCGAGTGATGGGTCTGGGGAGCTCCTATCGGATATGTCCGAATAGGATCCATGTCCGTCGTTCATGATGGGGTCGGCATAACCCGCATGGGGCATCCCGCTGCTCCTTACCTGTCTCTCAGTAGCCGCCCGAGCCGTTCGATCGACTCGGGTGACCCGTTGGCCTCTCCTTGGAGATTTCATTGGTGGGCCCTTTGAAATCCTGCCTGGGAAGGCGGAGGATCATTTACGTGCAGTTGTGCCTTATTTCCTGCACCCGGGTTGAGGTAGTGGTGGGCCCTACCTAGGCCACGTCCCACTAACCGGGCGACGTTTCATCGGGCAGAGCGCATCCCATCAGTCAGGGCCACATCCCGTCTCATGCTTTTCTGCATTAAATAGGGGGAAGGGAGATGATTTTCCTCTCGTTATTTCGTCTTCCTTCAACCACTGCCGTTCCTCCTTCCTCCCTTTTGCCAAGTCTATTCGTGTGCCACGATAGTTTCTAGGAGAGAGGAGGGTAGAGCGAGGGAGAGGAGAACTCACAGATTCATTCATAAATCCGAGGCACGATGTCGAACTGGAGGCCTTCCAACGTGGATGAGGAGGTGCTGGCCGCCTTCACTGAGAAGGGGCTGGTCCCGTCGAAGGAGGTGGTGCATTGGAGGGCTCCTACGCCGGGGGAAGTTGTTCCTCAACCCTGGGCTGACAAGGTCGTCTCCTTCCTTGCCTTCCACGAGCGCGGGCTCAGGTATCCCGCACACTGGTTCTTGCGCGGGCTCCTCAACGAGTGGGGCCTAAAGCTGCAGCACCTCAACCTGACTAGGGTACTGCACACCGCCGGCTTTGTCACCGTCTAC